TCTGGCCCTCAATTTTCTGCTGCCATGTGCCTCAGTACTTCACATAAAATTAGATTAAAATTGGATTTGAGGAAAAGCAAGCCCATATGCATTAGAGCCTTCACTTTAGGGCAAGTAGAGCACTGACATCATGAGTTTGGTGAGGATTAGATCCTGCTCTTATTTATTCCAGCTGGCAAATTCTAAATGCCAGACCGAACTTTGTATCTTGAAATTGTTGTAATAATGAGGATAGTTGTAATAAGGAGAAAAGCCTGCAATGTTCCAAGGTTATGATACTTGGAATTGGAGCACCTTCTGCCAAGAACAGGCCTCTGTGCATGTCTGGATATGAGCATTACCTGTTCGGAGTAGAAGTAGCATGGGATCCCCCTGGCTATTTCAAATGTTTTCAGTAACGAGAAGTAAGAGAACAAGTTGTCTTCTTCCTGAGATACTGCTGTCTTCCATCTTTGTACTTTTGTTTATGCACTGATGGTTTTTCTTTTGTAGGCCCTGTTATGAATGAGCTGACAAGACTGAATTTTTTTGATAACACTGTAACGAGAGAGTTGCTGTTTCACAGTATTCACGATGCTGTCCTTGCTTGCCAAGTGAAAGACAGGTCTGCTTCACAGCCTTGACCCCTCAAGAGTGGCACTGAGCAGAATGGAAGCAAGATGTACACTGATGGACACTCTTCCCAAATATTTAATTTGCACAGTTTAAAGAGAGCCTAAAGCTATTTGTATCTACGGGTATAGGGTGGTGTTGATTTTCTGTAGGAAGAGTGGATAAGGAATTGGAAGCCTTCATGCTGTTGAATTTTATCCTTCAATCAGGGTATAGCCTTCCAACAACACAGAAGCACAAAATTATGCAAGACAAGAAAATTCAGTGTATTCTGCTGTAATTGGAATCTGATAGACAAGGTGACATTCCTGTTCCTATTGAGAAAATGGGCACCTTAACTCACTGCGAGGTGGGATCTTGCAGGAAGTAACTGTTCTGCAATTGCAATGCACTGTACCAGTGTCTAAACTGTCTTAGTTTATTTTTAAAAGCCTGATGTCAACATCTGCGTACAACAGATTCATGTAAACTATAATAATCTGCCAGATGGATTAATGAATTCACACTGGTGGCATTTAGCTGCTACTCTTTTTAAACCTAGATGGTACAGTTATTTTTCCAGAACATCTAACCTGTCTCAGCTATACTCAACTCTTCATTGCCTGAACATTTTCACTCTTAAGTGAACTTCAAATCAGAAACTCATTGTTTAATTATTACATTACAAATAGGGTACTTTCACCACCATTCCAGAAAATAATACAGTTGATTTCAAGGTAAAATCAGTTTCGCTTCAAGGTTTGAAGACAAAACTGTTTTAAGGCAGGAGTGAAACCTATTGAAATGAAATTAAGTGATGCCCTATATGCAGTCTTATAACCTGGAATAAAATCATAGACAAGGTCTAAAGTATCAGTGGTCCGGAAAAAAATGAGAAGTACTTTTCTGTTGCCCGAGATATCTTCCTACCAGCAGTCCTGCTTCTGCCACAGCTTTTAAGCACTTTGAGAAACAGATTTCAATAGAACTCAAAAATGTTATGTGTTTGGTTTTTTTAAAAGAAACAGTAGTGTGGGGGTCTTTTTCTATTGTCTTCACAACCTGTCTGCTGTGGTACTGCTCAACTTCTGATGTGAGACAAAAACATGGAAATATAATTCAAGCAAAAGAGAGACATTTTCAATGCCTGTATTTCCCTAAAAACAATCACTGTGAATCTGAGCAGAGGTAGGAACCTAAAAGTGTTTCTCTGTAGTTATTTCAGCAGCACAGTGGCCATGGAAAATCTGTGACATTTCATTTAGCACCCTCTAATCACAGCTCCTGCGCATAAGGGAATTCACATGACTTCCTCTCTTCTGAACTTAATACTTTTATTTTGCTTCAAGCTCTGTTGTGTTTAGGGCTTGCTTCAGGTAAACCAAGTTTCCCAACAACCAGGGGCAGTCAGGGAAGATATTTTATCTCATCAGACTCCTCTGCCACTAGGGATAGGGAGCTTTCTGCATCAGAAATTACTGCTTAGCTGGAGTTCAAAGGATGAATTGAATGCATGTTAACACACTGTGGGTGTTTATTTAAACAACTTTTGGTACATTTTATAATGTTAACTAGTTTACCCTACCTTTCTATCTACATACAGTATATTTTTCTACTTTCAGCTTGTTGCAGCTTCAGTTTTTAACTATGTAGTCTCTTCAGTTCAAACCAAAATCCTGTCAACTTCTAAAATAAAGTGATGATCAAGACTTGTCAAAATTTTCTGCTTTGGCATGGTGAGACTGTATGTGGGACCAGCCAAGGTCCCTGGATGCAAGTATGTGTTGCTAAGGGTAGGGTGGGGAAGTATTACCACCTGCTGCTTCGGTTCCTGCTCCTGGCCCTCTGGGCTCCCCCACCTACACGAAGCCCCCTCCATGCCCAGCCTCACAGTGATGCAGTTAAGGCTGCATGTCCCAGCCTGGTAACAACAGCTGCCCTGCCTGGGGAGCTGCTGAGATGCTGGACTGAAAACCTTTGCCCAGGGAAGTCCTAGATCCCAGCCTGCTGGCACTGCACAACCTGCTCCTAGGTACTACCAGCATTGCTGGAAACTCATCCACTAAAATAAGATCTGGCAGCTTTTGACTTGTCTCTTCCTGTGGTGTGCTGCTAGCAGCTGAATCTGCTTCCTACACGCCAGTTATCTACTGAAAAACAAACTTTCTCTTCCCATACTGATTAACAGACTGCTATCTAAAAATTTAAATCCTACCTTAGGCTTGTCAGTGCTAGAGTAAACAAACCCACATCCTTTAAACTTAGGGCTTATCTCTTCCCCTCCACAGTTTGTCTGCATTGACAGGGTCGTGTTCTTCCCACGCCCGGCTGAAGCCCCACCACAGCCAAGGTCACTGGAAGCCTTAACTCCAGGTTGATGCAGAGATGACTCTTAATAACCAGAGTAATATTCCTTTCCCCCTCCTTTTCTTTTTTTGCAAAAGTACTGATGATAATTCCAGATACCTGCTAAGATCCAAATTCTTTTTTCACATACTTCAGTTATCCGTCTTAAGTAAAAGGTACACATAACTCCAAGTGCTGTGCTTAGGAAATAGAGATCTTCTGGCAGCACTGCTTTCTGAACCATTTCTTCCCTCTTGGGCCTGAAATTCTGTCCCAGCAATAAACATGCCTCCCTCCCCAAAATGTTCTTACCAAAATAACACATTACTGTTGAGACCAGTTTTTCAAGCAGTTACAAGCAAAAACAGCGGATTGCCTGTCTTTGCTTATCAAGATACTGGCACTGGCCAAAATCCTAACAAAGTCCATGTACACTATTGTAAACACTTCCTCTTTCAAAAAAAAAAAAAAAGTGGCTCCACCATCTAACCTTGATCCATGGATGTCAGTTGTATTGAAATGAGACCTGATAAAATGTCTCTCACTTCTGAGACAAAACAGTTTCCAAAAACATTTTTTCTCACAGGTATCTCTTCAAGCTCTTCCTCCCGCCACCCACCTTTAATGCAATGCTTGAAAAAAAAAGTGAAGGAAAGGCTGTTGCTTTTCATTGACCAAACCATCCAGCTCTGTAGGACCATGCTAGATGAATGAAGATGAACCTTGTACTGTTGCCTGCTGCCAATGACTCACAGCTATTGCCCGACTACTGGCGCACCAGGACCCCATCAGGGTCATCTTGGGTGTGTAGCAGCATCTTAGACAAGTGATATGATGTATCACAGTGCTCACTAGTGGACTCAGACTGACGTCAAACTTCAATATTATTTTTTTAGAGCAGGAACAGGAGAAAGGAATCTTTCTTCCCTTAGCACTATGAAATTACACTTCTTCCTCCCTCTTGACCCAACACTTACTATTTCATAAAAACCAAGGAATCTCAGCAAAAAGGGATGAAAAAACCCACTGAAGAAAAAAAAAAAAAGTTATGATGGTATCCCAGCATTTACCCATGGAGAGAACATGTATCCCTTCACATCTTCCCTAAGCTGGGCAATGACTCAAACCATTCCACCTGAGCTGAGCTGTGTCCGCCTTCTCCTCAGCTCTTTTCCCGTGCAGTTCCTGAAGGTTTTCTTGGGATAAATCCACACCTTGGTGCTGAGCATCACGCAAGCATTTCTGAGCACACCCAGAAATGCTGCAGCCACTTGGGGATGTTTCAGCACCTCCACAGCTGAGAGGATAAATTTTGGGGTGTAAAGGGTGACTGGAGATCTAAACTTTGGATTACCCAGGTATCAGATTTTAAAGTATCTTGGTTTCAGTTGTGTTATTAGCCTTTCACTGAGATTGTTTTCTAACGCAGCAATACTCCACTGGTGTAGAGCACACAGATGAACTCACACCTACTGTTTGGAATGCTCCCTTTATTTCTAGTTTCCAAGAACAAGACATGAATTACTACACTCGGATTTTTGTTTCACAGAAAGTTTAAGAACAGGAAAAACATTCCAAGATATTAGTTGTAGGTCATGTAGCGGGGGGTAGCACTGAATTTTGCATATGATTTAATGACTTTGTTCACCGCTTCTAAGAAGTCTTTCTCTGTTGCAATTTTTCTGCGTGCTCGGATAGCGAACATGCCTGCCTCTGTGCAGACACTGCGAATCTCAGCACCTTTGAAAGAAAAGGATAAACAAACTCAGCACTGACCACCAGCAGAGATGAAGCATAGAGAAAATTGTTAAAAAAAATTAAAAATCAGCTTACCTGTGCTATTAGGACACAGTCGAGCCAACAGCTCAAATCTTATGTCTCTTTCAACACTCATCGAACGAGCATGTATCTTGAATATGTGAGTTCGCCCCTGAAAAGAGGGGAGAAGTGTTCATGCTATGAACGAAGTGATGACTCTCAGCATGCAGCTGTCCACATCCAGAGCAAGGGCAGATGGAAAATACATCTTTTATGTGCTGCCCAACTGTAGTTTCCTATGTCTGGACGAACATGTTTAAGTGTCCATGATACTAAATTAAGAAAATAACTTTAAAAAGAGCTTTAACCATAAGAAGTATCTCAAGAGACCTCTCTCCAAAGAGCCAAACAAAACACATTCCAACTTGAGAACTAAATCACCGAAATGGTTAAAGGATTCTTTACCTGTTGAGTCACGAACACACAGTAAATATATCTACCATGGCTTCTCGGCCAGGGATGGAATCTGTGCAGTGTGGGAAAACCTTTTTGGCACATCTTTAATCCCCCCAATTTCCACGTAGTTTCAGGTACGTTAAGAGTGCTGCTGTTGTCAATTCTCCTAAATTGCTTCCAGACAACAACGGCCTAAATGAAGAAACACTCTGATATCAGAATATACCCAGCTCTGAAAGAAAGCATTCTCACCTCAAGATCAGGCAAGCTGAACTCTATCTTCCTGTCCAACCTGCCAGGCCTCATCAGGGCTGGATCCAGAGTATCGGGTCTGTTTGTAGCCATCAGCACTTTGATGTTGCCTCGTGGATCAAAACCATCCAACTGGTTGATGAGCTCCAGCATAGTCCGTTGCACCTCATTGTCACCCCCAGCGCCATCGTCAAAACGAGCACCTGGAGAGAGGAGACACACGTGTTTCAACTGGACAAGCTGCTGAAATTTATAAATATATGTTTCTTTGTTTTGCCTCCCCTCAACCAAAATCCTCCCCCACTGCCTTTGTGTAAAAATTGTTTTACTTTCAAAGGACTGAAGAACTTCCTTTGGGAAAAAATTAATAAGTTAATTTACAGGCAGTAATAAAGATTTAGTATGCCGTCCAAAAGCTGAAGGGGGCTTAAGTTAACAGTACTTTTTGCAAGCACAATACAGAGATTTTTCACTAAAGTTTGAATAATCTGGGTGTTCCAAAT